GCTCCGGACCGGGTCAAATCGCACTCTCGCCTGCATTTCGCGCACTCGACGCGCACGATCTCTGCAGAGGGTTGCGCCGGACAAATCCAAATCGCACTCTCGCCTGCATTTCGCGCACTCGACACGCACGATCTCCGCAGAGGGTTGCGCCGGACCAGGTCAAATCGCACTCTCGCCTGCATTTCGCGCATCCGACGCCCACGATCTCCGCAGAGGGTAGAGACAAATCGCACTCTCGCCTGCATTTCGTTCACTCGACACGCGCGATCTCCGCAGAGGGTTGCGTTTCGTGGCGGTCCGGCGGCACTGCCCCCGGCCTTAAGAGAGAAAGTTAAGAAGAGCGAGAGGTGAAGATGTGAGCTGTAGATGTGAGAATGTGAAGATGAGCAGAGATGATGTGAGGGTGTGAAGATGAGCAGACATGATGTGCAGATGTGAAGATGAGCAGAGATGTAGATGTGCAGATGTGAAGATGAGCAGAGATATAGGTGTGAATGTGGATGTGCACACGTGAAGATGTGAAGATGTAGATGATACGTAGTTCTGCAGATGTGGATGTGCACAGGTGAAGATGTGAAGATGTAGATGATACGTAGTTCTGCAGATGTTTTTTACGAAGAACCCTTCGCAGACGCTCTCGGGAAAACAGGGAAAGAATAAGGATCCGGTTGTTCACTGCGTTGTTTGGCAGACGTGTTTTTGAAGGTGCCTGTGCTCAAGTGTCAAAAGACTGACTGGCAACCAGCAAATGGCACAGTGTCACATGCCAGGTAAGGCCGTTTGTGTGTTTACAAGCAATCACAAAACATGCATCTAAGAACATTCACTATATGATATATTTGGGAACGATTTTGCACATAGATTGCAGTACAGTTGCATGCCATAACTTGCATCATAGAGTTGACCTGCAGCCCTTTTGACTCTCAAGAAAAGGTGCGTATGGCAGCGGAGCTGAGAAGGAGGTAACCCCTCGGGAGCTCTGAGTGAAAAGCCCCTAGGTCACTGGGATGCTGGGTGCGATTTCAAGCCATAGGTTTGGGGCCTTTCGAACCCAAACAGCTGGACTGGTGAACAATTGTTGCGAGCAACACTCTGTACCCAGTACATTGTGTCCAAGAGACATTAGTGCAAGGGGAAGATGGAGGAGATCAGAGGGATCCTTCAGACCTTTGCACAGAGTACGCTGGCAACAACATCAGCAGCTGAGGCAGTGAAGAAAGCAGTTGAAGACAAGAAGTCATCAGCAACAGTATGTCAAAGCTGATAGCAAAGTCAAACATCTTTGACCATAAGTCACAAGAAGAAGAGATCAAGGCATTCAGAGAGTGGTCATGGGTCTTTGAGAAGTACCTGAGCGGAGCTGATGAAGGCTACATGAAGGACTTGAAGGAAGTTCATGAGAAGCCAGATGATAAATTTGACATTGACTTGGCGACTGAGGCAGAAAAGACGGGGCATCAAGCTTTATGGACTGTTAGCTTCATTGACGAGAGGGGAAGGGCGCTGCAATTGGTGAAAGCTGTGGAAGACTCCAATGGCTGATGCTTGGAGAAGTTTGAACAAGACCTTGGAACCAGCTTCAAAGGCGAGAGGTTTAGCACTCTTGGGAGCAGCCACTACGTGGCCTCAACTTGTGGAGGTATTTGAGGAGACAGTCAGGCACTACAATTCAGGAAGAGTTGAAATCTGCTATTCTTTTGAGATGTGTGGGTGGCCAGCTCAAATCCCACCATTGGTGACAATGTTCAATACGTTGAGGGAGCAAGTGTTGCAATGGGGTAGATCTCAGCAAAAGTGGGCTACTTCCATGGTGGCGAGTAGCTACAGACTATCAAGGGCCTATGCCAATGGAGGTTGATCGAGTCCAGGATGGCAAAGGAAAAGGTCAGAAGGGCAAGAATGACCATCAGAAAGGCAAAGGTAAAGATGCCAGCGGCAAAGGAAAGAAAGGAAAGAGAGATCAGACAGGAAAAGAAGCGCAAAGGTAAAGGCACAGGTGTGGCAACATGTTACACTTGTGGAAAGCCAGGACGGCATCTAGCTAAAGACTGTTGGAGGGACCATGTTCGACAGGTAGCAAGTGATCAAGCCCAATCATCTTCAGGAGGAGAATCTGTGACAACTCACACAGTTAGCCAGCAACATGCCAATGTGAGCCAACAAGGGAGCTCAGCAGAGACCAAACGAGTGGTCAGGAGAATTGAGAACAGCGAGCCGATCATCTTTGACTTAAGACAAGGAGACCATGAGCTAGAAGATCAAGGAATTCGAGTAATTCACTTCTACATTGGAGATGATGATGATGATGAGCCAGAGTTCCAGGAAGTTTAAGACATTGACATCTCAGATGATGAATCCATAGTGGGGAGACTTGGGGAAGAGAATGAGGCTGTGGCCATCATTATTGACAGTGGGAGCTGATGTAGCATTATTCCCTTTGAGTATGCAGATCATGGGGAAGGAGAATGACAGTTCAACACAAAGACCAAGCTAGAAGATGCACAGGGAAATCGTATCCCCACAGGAGGTGCGACAAGTGTTGAATTTATTTGCGGGACCTAGGTGGACGAGAAGTTCTTCGCAAAGAGAATGTGATCTTCACATACTTTGTTATGGAAGGTTGATGGAACATGGTTGGGGAACAGCAGAGAGCAAATGTTGGAGAATGGTGACTTGAAGGTACCACTCAACCTGCAAAATCGCTCTTTGGCAGTTCAAGGCCGCACTAGAGTCGTTCGAGGTGAAGATGAGAGCTGCTTGGAGGTGCAAGTACCTGAAGCTTTGGAAAAGGAATCAGGTTGGAGTTTCAATCAGCATGGACTGCTAGTTGGAAGCTTGTTGACTTCAAGGTTTGTGGATCCCACAGTCATTCCAGAAGTGGAAGAATCACCAGAGCTGATGAGAACCACCTTGATGAAAAGAGGAGGTGGATGGTTAATGCCTAAAAATTTTGAAAGCGTGATGAAAAAGGAGGAACTTGACAAGCAGTTCTTATGATGATGATGATGATGGTGATGATGATGATGATGCAGTCATTCCTTCAATCACAATCTTCAGCTATGAGCCAGCGCCGCCAGAGGATATGGGATTCGTTGCATAAGGATACAAGAAGCTTGAGAACGGAGAACTGAGAAAGAAAGAAGTTCAAGGGCCTTGGAAGAAATTACCCCTATTGGCAACTCTGAGGGCAGCGTGTTCATTTCTCGGCATTCCAGGCAGTGGCTCTAAGCCAAAGGTCCACACCAAGATCCTCAATCGCAACAAGAAGATGGAATCGTTGAATGCAAAAGCTTGGTGAGTGAAGCAAAAGCTCCAGAAACAAGAGAGACATTAGGACAGTGTTGCAAAGATGCCAGATGAGGCAACTCAAGCAAGGCACAGGTTGACAACATGCATGCCATATGCCAATTGGTGTAAGGAGCGCATTGAGCATCG